GCACAGCACCGCCATCAGTAGTGCCACAGATCACAGTAATAACAACAACAATCACAATCCGAGCTTACAACTGAATGGTAATGCCAGCAGCAACACTAGGCAACACAGCAGCAACACCAGCAGCGGCAGCAACAGCAGTAACTCCAGCAACATTAGCCCTCCCATCAGCATCAGCAACAGCAACAATAATCACAACAGCAGCAGCAACATCATCAGCGGCTTTTGCAGCACCATTTGGCGTTCGGCCACATTTGGCAGTGCTACGCCCGTAATTAACCCATTACCAGGTGTACATATTAACCCGAAAAGTATGGAAAGCAGCAGCGATAGTTGCTCACTGAGTTCTTCGATAGCGCCCGAGGTTTGCCTAGCTGATCAACAGCAGCGACAAAGGATCACCAGCACTCAAGATCAGCAAGAGGATCAGTCCGTAAGAAACAAAATAAAAAATGAAAACAAAAATGTATAAAGGAAGATAAACCATGAACAAATTGCTCATCGTTACCCATCTTTGAAGACATTTTTTCCCACTTCAACGGTCGTTTATCATCTTGATCCAGCATTTTGTACATATTGCTCAAGAAATCCCCCTCAAATCGCTCTGTCTCTATTTCGCTTTTCCCTTATCTCTCTCTCTCGTCTTACAATTCCTCCATTAATTAATTTGTTTTGTTCCGGAATTCAATTCAACCTATTGGTTTTCATTAAAGTTTTTATTTTGGGACCACTTGAGGAATCAGTCAGTCAGTTGATTTTGTTTAGCCACCACATCTCCAATTGGGAACTTCACAGCCATAGAAATGAATTCATTTTAAATTGTATCACTCATCCGCCATGTTGTGTCCGTTTCAGCACACATTCCTAGGCGCCACCGAACTGGACGATGAGTTAATCAAACAACTGCCAAAGGAGGTACTGCTGCGCGTCTTCTCCTACCTGGATGTTGTCTCACTATGCCGCTGTGCACAGGTAAATGAACTGGCACAAGTTAAACGCCCAGTTGAGGTCGTCAGTTTTTCCCCCACTAATGAATTTTTCATGCTACAGGTATGCAAATATTGGAACGTGCTGGCCCTCGATGGTTCCAGCTGGCAGAAAATCAATCTATTCGACTTTCAACGTGATATCGAGGTGAGCTTTGGAGCATCTAATGGTTAACTAAAGCCATGGGCGATCAACTTCCTGAATTTTTATATTTTTATTTTGTTTATTTAAAAATTTAACAGAGAACGTGACTAATTTTTATTACATATTATTACTAATTATATACGTATTTACTAACATATTTCTCTTTTTAAAACAGGGTCCGGTGATTGAGAATATATCGCAGCGATGTCGCGGTTTCCTCAAATCACTGTCGCTTCGTGGCTGCCAATCGGTGGGAGATCAGTCCGTAAGGTAAGTATCCATGATAAAACCACTCCAAACCCACAACTTAAATAAATAATTTATATTTCAGAACTCTAGCGAATCACTGCCACAATATCGAACACTTGGATCTGTCAGAGTGCAAGAAGATAACCGATATATCCACACAGTCCATCAGCAGGTATTGCTCCAAATTAACGGCCATTAATTTGGACTCGTGCTCCAACATAACAGACAACAGCTTGAAGTATCTATCCGATGGCTGTCCAGTAGGTTTACTTGAATAACCCATACGAAATAAGCATACTTTATCGGGTTGTTCCCGCAGAATCTCATGGAGATCAACGTGTCCTGGTGCCACCTGATCTCCGAGAATGGCGTGGAGGCGCTGGCCCGCGGCTGCGTCAAACTGCGCAAGTTCAGCAGTAAAGGTTGTAAACAGATAAACGACAATGCCATATTGTGCCTGGCCAAATACTGTCCCGATTTAATGGTGCTAAATCTACACAGCTGTGAGGTGAGTATATAATATTAGATATAAATCTGAAGAATTATTTAATAATGGTATTTTAAATTTGAATTAATGTAGACCATCAGCGATTCATCGATCCGCCAACTGGCCGCCAATTGCCACAAGCTCCAAAAGCTGTGCGTGTCCAAGTGCGCAGACCTCACCGATCTCACGCTGCTGTCGCTCTCGCAGCACAATCACCTACTGAACACCCTGGAGGTGTCCGGCTGTCGCAACTTCACAGACATCGGCTTCCAGGCGCTGGGGCGAAACTGCAAATATCTGGAGCGGATGGATTTGGAGGAGTGCAGCCAAATTACTGACCTCACGCTGGCTCATCTTGCCACCGGTTGTCCTAGTTTGGAGAAATTGGTAGGCTTGATAACCCCCTAACCTTGATAACCGGTGATTATTTAATTTATTTGCTTTATAATAGACCCTTTCGCATTGTGAACTGATTACGGACGATGGTATACGACACCTCACCACTGGCAGCTGTGCCGCGGAAATACTGTCTGTGCTGGAGCTGGACAACTGCCCCCTGATCACGGACCGAACGCTAGAGCATTTGGTGTCCTGCCACAACCTACAGCGCATTGAGCTATTCGACTGTCAGCTTATCTCCCGCACCGCCATACGCAAGCTGAAGGTGGGATATTCCTTTATTAGTTAGAATTTAACTAATATTTATGTCCCTCGCAGAACCATCTACCAAATATCAAGGTGCACGCCTACTTTGCGCCCGGAACGCCGCCAGCTGTGACCAGCGGACACCGACCACGTTATTGCCGCTGCTGTGAGATTCTCTGAGATACGGCCATCGGCTTCGCCAGGAAGATAATGCGCAAGACGGCCACGGACTGATGCTGGCCCGTGTGCATCGTCATGTTCGCCATGGTGTTCAGCCTGACCCTCGTCTCGATGATCTGCATGTACTTGCTGGGCCTGCTCGACGCGGCGATGACCACATAGCCACCAGATACAGATCCAGATCAGGAACAGCAGCAACAACAGCAGCAGCAGCGGCTTAACCGAAACCTAACCCTAGTTTTAGTTTTGAGCAAGTTTCAAAAACTTGCAGAAACCAGCATCAAATTGTGATTATTTTATTTAATATTCTACGTTAACTAGACCCTCATTTGTGTAATCTGTATTAGCCTTCCCCACGCTCTATGTTTGTTATTAACTGCAGCCCGAAGAATTGCTAGCTTATATAAACCTGTATATATATGTATATGTAGACGTGCAGCCCGATCCGCGGCAGCTTCAGGTGGTTCCGCTGAATGTTCTGTGTCTAGCCTAGAAACTGCAATTATCTGCGATTAGTTTTAACTCTCATACACGCATGCCTGTATTAAATGGTTGCTAAATTATGATTAAATTATAAATCCATCTGGAGAATGCTAGGATTTTATCTCTCACTGGTCCCCCGAAAAAAGAAGCTGGAGTTTTCCAAAATTCCGAAACATGTCGATAGAACCACAAAGCGTTCAAAAATACACTCACACTATCCGAAGTACGATTAATTTAACTTTTGATTATCCACTCAAGTCTAGTGCCAGCTAAAACTGTTCAGCAATTAGCATTATCTATGTATAGCCATGTATATTACACAACGAACAAACGACTCACACTGGATCATCTTCCCTGAAACACAAAACAGTACACACATAAATAATTCAATAAATCTATATACACCGTCTGAACTCACACAGATATTTATACAGTATATTTTGTAATGTATTATCCACTGAAAAATGTATAAATGGGGCAGAAAAGTAATCGTTAAGCCTCGCGATAAGCTCACAACTTGGGCCACCACAATTAAGTAGATAATATATTATTTCCCCAACTCAAAAGGTTTCCCTCTCTTGCAGAACTTTGTATATCCAATCCTCGAAAGATCGATCAGTTGTAAGCTGGGGTATAGGATAAACAATGGTGTGACAGCCCCTTTAACCCATTATGTCCACACTTAACCCCTCGACACACAGAACAAGCACAATAAACGCAAAACGATGCCAGATGAGATATTTTCCTGATTCATTTTATTCTCTTTAAAGTTAAGCTAAGCAAATGGTGTCATACAAACATATACCTACCATATATTTTCCTAGAAAGAAAAACCAAAAAGAAGTCAAAATCATATTTACACGAAATAAATACAAAAATGCAAAAAGGATAAAACAAGAGTTGTAAGTTGCGTATTTTAACGGATCTTTCTGTCTGTCTCTTGTAGTGTGTTTCAACTTTGTTTTAAAACTGTTTAACAAAAAATCAACAAAAAAATCACAACTGATATGTATTAATTAGAGTTAGAGTTGAACAAAAAACCGGAAATATATATATGGAAAATTGCCGTAAAGCGCAATAAAGTTCCGTACCACACAAAAAATAACTTTTGGTTCAATAAAATTTACATTTAAAAGGAGAATTAAATATTATATACACCTCTATATATATGTATTACATAAAGGCTTTACAATGCAGACTTATATATTTACATCATATGTACGTGTGTAGTTTTGCAAACAAAAAGTAATAAGAAAATTTGAAAACACTCGAAAATTAACAAAAATTAATATGGCAAAACGGAAAATATGACATTTTAAACTGAGAAACGTTTAACATAAATAATATTTTAAATATCAAATGGCGAATGTGTTTTACTTTATGTTGGTTATAAAGTTTCCAAATATTTATTTGTTTTCACGTATCTTATACAAATATTTGAATTCGAAATCACTATGAGCTTTCGTTCATATTTGACAATAAAATATTTAATTAAGGTAAGTAATGCATTTCATTACATCCTCCAAATTTTGATTTCAACGAAAGGATTATTTTAGAATTCTACCTTAATAAAAGATTTAGAAAACTTATACATTTCAGTTATATGATTTAACAATTTATTTATAAGTTCAAACTAAACTATAAAGCTATTGGTATATCCATTTAAAAGTGAAGTTTTGTGGTTTTTTCATCGTTTTAGTTTTTATTTTGTCAATTTATAAATTTATTTCCTTCCATAACGGTCTGGTTTTGAACAACTTCCGTGTCATGCATCCTTAACAAGGCAGGTCAGCTTGATTTTCACAGCGATGCGATACGGCCACACTGACCCGCCCACAGCTGGTCTGGTCTCTCTCAAAATTACAGTTGTTTTGTTGGGAAAAAAATAAACAATAATTTTAGCTGGCCGTTGTGCGAAAAAGTGGAAATTATGCGAATCTCGACAGCGAAAGGGCAACGCGATGCTGGCAATGAAAGTGTAGGCGCGGCTTTTCCGGAATTTCCAGCTTATCGTCACCCGTGCACCTGTGCTGGCATTTCCACCGATTTTCTTTTCGCTCGTGGAGCTGCAATGGCGACCATGTTGAGAACGATCAATTCCGCTAAATAGAACGAGCAATCAAGGATAAAGAGCGGTGTAGAGAGTTAGGAGAGTGCAGGCGAAAATAGCGAAACAGAACCGTTTTTTCCCCGTCAAAAAAAGAGTTCATAAAAGGCGAATAAGAGTGTGAAAGGGCAATGAAAAGTGGCAAACCGTGAGTTATATAAAAAGTATGTATATTATTCAAGTGCCACGAAATGCAGTCTTGCAAAAATCGAAAATAAATCAATGATATAGACGCAAAATCGAGGAGAAAGAAGAAGAAGAAGCAGCAGCAGCACAGCTGAGTGCGTTTGAGTGAGCGCTGCAAGTGTGTGTTTGTGTGTGCAAGTGAAATCAATAATATTTGCAGCCAAAAATTAGAAACTGCAATAATGTCGAAAAATCGAATTGAGGCAACAAATTAGCAGAGCCATTAATCCAGTCTGCACTAAGCGAAAAATTGTGCCTTTTCTCGGGATCTTCTGATGCAAAGCAAAAGAAGGTAAGTCGGCCATTTTTGTTGCGTTCTTTTTCCATCTCTTATTTGCTTTTGGTTAATAAAATAAAGTCCGCAAATGACGCTTAATTGCCTTGAACTTTATGCGGGGTCCGGCATATTTCATCAGCTATACATAGACTTTCGTTAGAAGATTGCGTTTTGAAACCAAGCTTGAAACTGGAAATGCGGGGACATGTGTAAACAAAGCAGGCAAAGCAATACCTTATATACTTTCGCACACTGCAGGAAAAAAAGGAAAGTTAAATAAAGTAAAACATTAGAAAGTGACCACGCTCTTAAAATAATTTAAATCTTATTTGATTAAACAATTTGAAACGCAACATATTCTTTTTGGGAGACAAACGGTTCATTTGACCTATGTATGTATCTAATATTTATTTGAAAATAAAGCTTTGTTGTAATTTTGTTCTTAGTGTATTTACTTTTGTGTTCATATATGTGTGTGCGTTCTTCGTTGATTCTCTTTATGGTCAAAGTAAATGATTTCAATTCACGTTCCACTGCCTTTACTTAAATATTTATTTGCTGTCTCCTTCTCTTCCCCTACTGTCCCCTTCTACCCGCTCTCTTAATCAGCTGTGCTCATGTGTGTGTGTGTGTGCGAGAAAGAGCAGACAAAGAAACGGTTAGCGTCGACTTTGCTGTATCCTTGAATTCGTCTCGTTTCGCTTCCTATTCCTTTTTTGCGCAGAAGAAACCGAGACAACAAAGGAAATCACATTAAAAACGGTTGACAGTTGTCTTTTCTTATACATCCATATTGATTTAATATTTGCTTTGATTTGTTTAAATGATAGCCAAAAGCAGACTGCTTACATAAGCAATTAGCTGCTGGGATTTTGCTGCCAAGTGCGCATTACATCCGTAAAATCTTGGCAGACGGGTTAAAGATAGTGCACTGTAAGCGGTCTAACGGTTGTCGGGCGCCCCATCATTTCCCCTCATTCGATGGCGGCCATATTAAACTTGCAGATCAAAGGCAAAAATGAAGACGAAGAGGAAGTGGATATATAGGTACCCTGTAATTCTAGATATGTATGTACCTCATTGTAATTGTAAAATCATTTATTAGTCCAAAATAAACACCGAAAGATGGGCGATACTTTAAAATCATATTTTTCTAAAGTTATTTCAAAATATAAACTTCTAAAAGGTATCCTGTTAGAATTATTTTGTTTAGGAATACATTCGTAAACTGGTCAATTGTTCTTTTAAATTTTTTGAATTCAAAAGAAAAAGATTTCTATATAAGTCTTTAATATGAATAAGAGTTTACATGCATAAGTATGTACAAATGTATGTATGTATATATGTATGTACATTTAGTTGTTATTCAGACTACAAATAGTTCACAAAGACTCAAATTAATTTCACAATGTTCGGGGAATGCAAATTAGTACTCCCTACAGAACTAGATTCAGTATTGTATTTCACCACTCAATCGAAGAATGATTTTTTTAAAATTAAAATATGACAGCAAAAAAGCACATTCACCCAAGAAAAGGACAAAGTAAAGCCCCCTGCGTGTCTGGGATTTTTTATGGTTTTCCATACTGTTAATGGAAGCCATAAGTTTTATATGTGTGTTACGCTCTACTCCACCTCCACCTCCACGCAATTCTCCTGTTGAACTTTCGCCGATAAGGAAAACCTAGAAAAAACCGCAGTAGGCTTATCTCGAAGTCACCAAGACCCAAATTCGTTGTTTGCTTTTCTGTTTTGAAACTCCTTCCAATGTTTCATTTATTGGTATTTTTATATTTACGGTATGTGGTTATGCGGTGGCCTGAGATAACCCAACCCGTTCCAAAAAACGAAACCGAGACCCCTGATAAGGTCTATTTCAGTTGTTCAGCTTCCTGGGGTTATTGCATTACGATTCATGGTCGTATATCACTTCGGTCTTGGATTGATAACGAAAGAACGACAAGAACGGTTGGTTTACTTCACTGTTCCTTTGTTGACTTGCAGGTTCTTTAAATGTGTTTCAATTAATATATCCTGGTTCTTTTTCTGTGGGCGGAACAATAAAACACAAAGAAAAAATACAGTCTAAAACAACTATTCTTATGATTTGAAAATTACTCTTTAAATATACTGATAAAATAATATTTCCAAAAACAAATCCTTAACCCTTGTGACATTTTAATTACAAAATTGAAATTACAACTTTGCATAAAACAACATACGCATTATAAGCAAGGTTCAAGAAACCCAATGGTATATTCAGGATAAAAATTTAATTAAATTTAGTCTTTTGCTTAAGTCTTATAGAACCTGTTCTGGGCATTAGAACTCTTCTTTTCGCGTGATTTCTTTGCCGGACTCTCTACTACGCATTATAGGTATTTCCAAATTCGCTCGAAGAGAATCATGAAGAGGGGGCGGGATGTCAGTGAGAGTGGAAGAAAGAGAGAGAGAGTGGCTAACGCTCAGTGACCCCAACATTTCAGCCGTTGACTTTTTCCGTTCCCGTTCCGTTGTTTTTGCTACAGCTCCTTCCCCTCTTTTGCGTTTTACGTTATTTTGTTTGTCGGGTTGAATGACTTTGGGACAACAACAACAATAACAACATGTGCCAGCCAACAAAAAGCAAGAAAAATTAAAAAGTAACAACATTTTTGGGGGGCAGTCGTTACTCTCGAGAGAGAGAAAAGAAAAGAGAGATGTAAAGCCAACGAACCCACCAAAATTTTTAACAGCTGATGGGTTTTGGGAGGTCAAAATTCATGGGGGATGTAAGGAAGTCTCGTCTGAAAATCGTACCCCCACTTCCGATTTAATTTGCTTTGTGTTTAGAATAACCCTCTTCCATTTCCGAGGGTTGCTATAGATAAAAGAGGTGCAGAAATTTTGGAGGGGCAAACAAAAAACATTGTTTTGATTGATATTCGTGCAATGGCTTTGATGGAATTTGCATTTCTTTCAATTCGCCACTTTATCGTTTCAATCAAAGTAGAAAAAAAAACAAAAATTATTTTCCATATGAATTCTCTAAGTTGCCAACAAAAGCGCTTTGTTTAGATTTTTTTGCTTTCGCGAATTTACAAAAATAAACATCATGTAGTCATCGCATGATTTCGGGATTGGTGGCAGAGTTGGGGAATTTGGGTCTTGTGATTAGTTCCCATTTTTGTAAATATTCTATTCCCCTTGTATTTCTAATTGCGTCATAACACGCTTATTTCTATATGACTCAAAAAACGAAGCTGAGTTTTGATGGGTGTAGTGAGAAAAATATTATTATTTTTCCATCTATCTAAATTTTATATATTTTGTTTCTAACTTCTTAAAATATAGTGATGAAATATATAATAATATATAATAAATACATTTATTGTTTAGTAAGCGGGTGTTAATAGGGGCATATCTGAAAATGCTAAGTCCCTATCTCGACAAGGCAATTAACTACAACTAACTTGTATTGATAGCTTCAGTTATTCACGGGGCTTATTATTCAAAATGTCTGCCTGCTATCTGAGGCAGATTGTCAAAGTGCTGGGTCATCGGCCATCTATATATTGTTTTGGCCCCCTGTTTGTCACCCCTTTTCAATCACCTCCCAAAATGGCCGCCACACTTGGCTTTGATGTCACAGCTGTCTACGCTCTCAACCTTAAACTTTCCGCTTTTCCGTGGAAAGCTCATTACAGTGGCACCTCGTTCGCTAGTTTTCCTCTTGCCCCGGCCATTCTGTTTTCCCCTCGTCCACCTGACGAGTCAATCACAGTCACGTGTGGGCCAAAATACAAGAACAGCTGTGTTTGTGTGCCGGAAAACACGAAGGAAAACACGCGGCAGACACAAAGAGCTACAATAATCTGAAAGTAGACGGTGCCAAGGATTGAACAATTGCTATTGGTTAGGATGGACGTTGCAATTGCAGTTATTATTCTTCAAATATTAAAAAATATAAGTCGAACTTATATAAGTCCGCTTATAAAAAGCTACATTATAGAAGACTTAGAGCTGTGGAATTAAATATTATTAAAAATCTACTCTTTTTGGTCTATAAGTAGATAGTTAGTAAAAAAGTAAACAATATTTTTTGTAGCGACAAAAAAATTAGGGATCTCGTTGCTAAAATAATGAGCTTGAGGGACAGAGTGACTTTCTTAATATTTAAAAATTGTTTTAAATGTATAATGTTACAGACGTCATTGGTAACAAATATTTACTGTACAATACACACGCGTTACATGAGCTCCCCTCAGCCGTTCTTGTGTAAGCGGTTCGTCTGCCTTGAGTCTATATTTGCTCGCAATCAATCCAAGGTTTTTCCAAGGGTCTCAAAAACTCGAAACTGTTCAACTGCGTTCTTTGCGATTCACAATTGCTGGTGCGGCAAAACGCTCTATAATTTATAAGTTATGGTAAATAAACAAACACATGTGGACTTTTTAGATTGAAACAAAGTATTGAGATATGCAGTGAAATGCTTTGTATAAAACAGTAATGACTCGGTTAAATGAAGTTTTGTAATGTCATATATTATATCAACACGTAAAAAATTATCAATTACCACCGTTTTAAATTATTGGTGATTTATTATTTGGAGCAAAAACAAGTGACTAAATTATGGTTTTTAATTCAAAACCTTTTGATTTATTTATATTCCTTAATATATATGTTAATTATGTACTAACAAATTACCAATAGTGAAAATATATGAAGATACTTGTATGAAATAATTTATCAGCTTTAGCTTGCATTAGTTCACCAAACCAAGAGCTTACTGTATTTCTGTTGGTTAGGTTTGTTTTTCCTCTCTTGCAAGCTGCTTTGCTTTCATAAGGTTTTTAACCGTTTTATTATCAAAACAGCTGATCGACGCAATTAAGTGTGTGTTTGTATCTGTGTGTTGAAAACAACTGCGCATATAAAAAGCGGAAGAGAGAGAGCTGGCCCTTTTAGTGCAAGAGAGAGCGGAAAACAAGCTGTAGACAAATTTTAATTCGGTAAAAGTATTAGTGGAAAAACCA